CCAAGACTCCGATTTCTTCGAGATTCTAGAACACTATGTAAGGCACAGGTTAACCGTGGCTGATGCAGCGTAGATAATGAGGGACTGTCTTGCAAATCTTTAATTTATAACTGGTCTGCAGAGTAGAGATTCTAAGTATGATTTTTGTGCCCTCCCTCTTGTATAAATTTTCATAGAATTTTGACAAAAATAGCGTAACTGTGTATGCACGTATTTTATCATTGATTCCCCATCGTACCATTCAAGACCATGTTTTCGGGTTAAGGCGTTGTTTTCGAGTTGTCTTTCTTCGGATAGCAGGTTAAACAAAAATTCAGGAGTCAAAATCCAATGTGCAGTATCACCGTTAATTAGAGAGGTTACACCTATTTCTTTAGGCAAAAATTCACGGTCGTTATTTATAAAACCTTGGATATATATAACAACAGAAGACATATCGGTCTTTACGGCACTACAGCAAAGTGTATACTAAATTTTAAATACTTGCTTATCCGGTGAAATCTATAGTTACTTGTCTCGAAGCATCTATTTCTAAAACACTTTCATATTCGGCATATACTATACAGTTTGTAGTTGTAGCCAGTGCTTTATCAAATCTAACCTCTATACGAACTGTACCATGCTTGATTAAATTCCAATGAGTGTTACTATTAGCTGATAAATCGGGCGTTAAATCAAAAGCATGTAAACAATAGCCATTAGGGTAATCAAATCTGTCTATAGAGTTTCCTTCGTTCAAAAAATGAATACTTGTGCCTGAGAATAACGTGTGATAAGCGTCTATGTAATTCATTCGGTTTCCAAAATCAGGCTGGAGTGGTTTTGACGGTATTTGACGACCGTCAACATACAGTGATAAATAATTAATCCCAAAATTTTGGAAATTGAAAGGATTCATTGAAGCGTCGCCGTTAAATGCTTTATTATCGACAAAACCGATGATTAAACGTCTAGGTATTTGACCATGAAGAATGTTGTCCATAGTCTCGCCATGTACCCCAGCAGCCATTGAAACAGCTTTAACCTCAACTCTGGTCAGCGGATATTTAGCAGTAGTTTTAGCTAACATACGGGCGTGTGCTAAAAGTGTTCCTGGTGAAATTTTTGCACGACGCACTAATAAACTAGCTTCACTAATATTGTATACACAACCGTTTACTGTGTCATCCATTAGACAAAAAGCATCACGTGCACACGTTAATCGTAATCGCATTTCAACACGATTGATTAAAAATCTTTCTTGATTGAAAACGTCACAATATAGATGACCAATAAAATCTGCTGTTTTATCACACGTTAATAATTCTTTACGTTTTTTCAAGCCTAAATTCTCGTCAGTTAAACTATCCATTTTTCCAGGGGTATCGCAGCACCACCCTACAGTAGTTAAATGCGATTTTTTGGCATCTGCTCCGTAGTTCAATAAAGTTTCTATGTATGCCCGGTATGGATATAAATTATTAGGTGTTGATACAGGCTTTTGATTGACTGACACATCAACTTGACTAAATATTGAATGCATAAAATTGTTTATAGGTGCTACTTTCGGAGGGTGAGCGCTAGCTATCACAGGGCCTCTTCGGGTAATACCCACGCATAACCTTAGCATCGTATGTGCTAAATCAATGTATTCATCCCCCTGTCCTTGAACAACAAATTCTATCGGTGAGTTATCAGTCAATGATGAAATTGGTTTATAATGAACCCATTGGGAACTTTCAATTGTTGTTTGGGTCGGCGGTAGAGTAAATAATTCTAACTCAATTTTAGCACACTCACACGAGTGTATATGTAAAAACGACATTTTAGAAATTTTTATCAAAAATGTCAGCCACTGTACGTAGTTTTTTATTTTTAATATTGTTTTTCTTTTTAATATTAGTCTTCTTTTTATTAACTTTACTTTTATTTTTCATTTTAGATTTGACAAGGCGTCTTTTTTTTTTTAACAACCCGTTTTCTTGAGTTTGGTTGTGTGTTGCTCATACCGTCGGTTAAGGCAAACTGGCTAGGTATATAGCCAGACCCGCTCATAAGACTATCAATTTTTTCCTGGGCTTTACGTTTTAATTTTTTACCTGACTCGCGCACGCGCGTTTTAAATGATTCTTCAACGGGGATTTTGTGGTCCAAAACATCTGTAGCTATATTTACACCAGATCTTAAAGCTTCTTTACCAACTGTCTTGAGACCGCTTTTTAAAAAAGGCAATACTCTTCTGAATAAGCCGCCCAAAAAACTACCTATACCATGTCCTCTTTGATAAAGTGATCCTACATAAACATGGCTTATTCCAGAATAACTGCGGGTACCGTCGCCGTATTGTATTATTTCGTAGTCTATCATAGTAAAGAATTTTAAAAACTTCTTTTGAAATGTAACGTTACTGTCAACGTCCCGTATTCGAATGGCACGGGTTTACCATATTCATCTCTTATATCGATTTCGATAGTAGCCATACTTTTACGTAACAGGGGTATATATTGACCAGGCAAAAATTTTTAATTTTAGTTGAACCGTAAATGTATTGATCGTGATCAAGAGGCACAACGCGTAGTAGAGGGGCCTGAATATCTCCTGTTATGTAACCTTCACAAATATCTGTATAAATGAATATTTTTCCTGGTATAGTTTGAGATAGAGAGGCTGGTTTAGATCCGCAACAGTCATCAGGGCCGGCTGTTATAACTTTAGAAAACGAACTTTCTTCAAAACCTAATATACACCAGAGTCTCTCACTCAACGCCAGCGTATGTCTTGCATTTTCACATTTGCATATTGTATAAATTTTTATAAAACCGCCAGCACTACAAGTAAAATTGATATGCTCTGAAACTGATTTGAGTTTGTTGAGAGAATCCACTAAAGAGCCTATATTTTGATATTGACCATGTGGTATGTTGTTAGAATAAAGAAACATATCGATTATTTCATTATTATCTTCTGTAGCTATATATTCAACGGTTAATGTAACTTTCGTGAAATCTTTAGGAATATGTAAGATTGTCATCGGCGTCTGGATTTCCACCAAAGCAACATCCCAGCATCCGTTAAGTTCTAAAGGATAGGGCAAACGCGTTATAAAATGAGTAGTTGTGTTATCCGGGAAGTATTTCATGCTGCTATTGCTAGGTAGCACTATGTAAAAATTATCTCTTTCTAAAGACATTTATTCAACCTTAGATAATTCCTCTTCATAAAATATGCCGTTGATTGGTTCGTTTTGAAGATCGATTAATATATAAACCGGTGGTTGGCGATAATCGGAAATACTTGATACTTTAAAAACTTCGCTACTCCAACCACTCTCATATCCTTTCGTAAACGCTGCCTTTGCTTTACTGATACGTATTAAGTCACCAACAACGTATTTAAGCTTACGGTTTTTCAGGATCTCAGAGCGCTTCTCATTTTCATAACGTTTTTTAAGGTTATTAAAAGCTATTTGAGCTGTATTATTGTTAACATTGACCGGCGCCATTTTGATACCAGTATGTATTGTGTGATTGTAAGCATAAATAACTTTTTGTAATATGTCTAAATACTTTTTTGTGCGGGAATACGTAAAATAACGCCATATTCTCTCCTTTATCGTTCTATTTAGACGTTCTACAATAACTGCTTTGACGTCAGGGTTGCGTACTGTTCTAAACAATACTCCTTTTTTTCTCAAAAATTCTTGAAAAGTCTCTCCAAGAAACTCTTTTCCGCTATCTGTCTGCACTAAGCGGGGTATTCTTTTGTTACTTCTACTTAAGATTTTTTGGAACGCTTGAGTCACACTTAGACTAGTTTTATTTATTAAAGGCTCAGCCCACGCATACTTACTCAACACATCGATCACCATCAATATATATTTATAACCTTTGTTATACGTAGAGATACTACGTAAATCAGCTAAATCAGCTTCCCAGACATCATCTATTGATTCAACATTATAAATCCTTCTAATAAAACGTTCATACGATGTTTTGTAAAAGTTTCTTGTTTATTTAACCATTCCTTAACATCATCTCGGGATAGCTCTGATTTGTTTTCAGCAGAGTATTTTAGAATATTTTTAGCACCTGAAAAACTTTCTGGTCTTATAGGATCATAATAGATGTTTTTTAGTTTTTTATCTATCTCAACTTTATCCATGATATTTTTTTACTTTGACTGTTTTTATTTATAGAACCTTCACCGTTTTGATTTAATTGTAATTCGTCTAAGGATATGTGTTCTGTAAGTATTTCAGGTACGGAAAAATTAACAGATCGTCTTCTAGGTGTAGAAGTTAACATTTTTTCGTCTAAATAAACTCGATTACCGATGTATTCACGCGGTATGTTTAGCGTTTGCAGTACTTGAGCAAACTGTTGACGGCCTATCGCTTTCACACTCTTTCTAGGCCTCAACACATCGTTTAAAAGATCAGTGATATTAGAACGTACTACTTTTTGACCTCTAATTGTCACAAGACCTCTATCGTCCCAAGATATTAACGTGCCAGGTCCATTTCTTAGCCTTTTTAATAGCCGCGCTGCATTTGCTCTGAATCTTTTAGGTACACTGTCTATAACTGAATTATCTATAACTACATCATATGAAGAACGATGATCAATTTCACTTTCAAAAGAACCTGCACTATCGAAGGATTTAGAGTTGTTGTCTACAGACTGGTCTGAAGTATTTATGTTGGTATCTATATTAGCAGTGTGCACAGATTTTTTTTCATTTTCAAGGATCCTAAGATATCGCTCAAGTGTTTGTAAATATGCTTGACATTTTTCACGGTCTGAGTTATATTTACCCGTAGAATTTAAAATTTCATACATTTCATTGTCGAGCCTAGTTAACACTGTTCCACTAGTAAGACAAGATTTATTTTTTGTAATATCTTCAGTTTTTTCTGAGACTGCCAACCTCTCATGAATTTTATCCTCAGGCACTAACACCAACTTACGGGCGTGTTTCATGATTTTACTAAATATTTTATTTGAAAATTATATTTGCAACCAAAGCACCCAGAACAGGTGCTAAAAATAAAGGTAAAAAGCCACCTTTTTGAATAATTATTTTCTTTTTCGTATTTAGATTGCTTCCTCCTGATGATAATTTTCTTAAAATCGTAATGTGGCGTTTTAATTTTTTCTTATGACTCGTTGTTAAAGGTACGTTACCACGTAATATGTTTAATATACACTCGCAAATACAACGTATTAAAGCAGGATCAGCTTTGCGTAAAACAGCTGAGCGTTGTGTATTATTTAGATAGCACAATGCTTGTAATACACGTAGCTGTTTTTTTTTGATAGGTGTACGCTCGCCCATTATCAAAGAACTACTGGTACATTATTCCTTTTAGTTTTATAATTTATACTTTTTTTCGGTACATAGACCAGCTGCTATGGGTCGTCCGGGAAAATAGAGCATCTGAAACGGCAGTTTTCTGGAGTTGATTGTTTTAAATCCAGTAGTAAGTAACCGTGTGGTAAAGATGTCGCTTCGTAATAAATCTCTTGTAGAAAACGTGTATATTCCGGACTCACTTGACGCGCTAGATGTTGAATTTGTGACCTATCGCGTGGATTTTTAAAAACTACAATGTAATTCGCATTTAATGAAATATCTCTTTGACCTCTACCTTGATGGAAAATATTTTGTGTCAAAAAAATAACACTTAAATTCCTATGATGACTAACTTTTGTAAAAAGATCTATTACAGCATTATTTGATGCTTCACGCATCAAATTGTCAATAATTACTAGTTTTGGATTATTATCACACCCGTATTCTTCACCTGTTGGAAGACCTTCGTGAAACTCAATGTTTTTATTATGAATGTACTCATTGTAGCCTGGTTGCCATTCAGCGTAATGAAATATTATTTTTGAGAAATTTGTATCGCTCATTAGACATAAATGTTTGATAAATTTTTTTACGAATACTGTTTTACCGCAACCAGTAGGACCACATATAATTGATGTCCATGGATGTTTCCATCGTGGATCCATAATATATACTGAGCTAATTTATAAAATGTTACGTTATATAAAGACAGACTCTCCTAAGATCAATGGGCTGTAAATCGTAAAACACTTATACTGATAATAAATAATATAGATTAATTTTCATTGGTTATAAAAGGAACTTTATTTATATTTTTCAATGATAGGTATCTTAAAATATAATTTCAATGATATTAATTTTTATAATTTATGAAGTAGAAAGTGTGGTATATATAAATAAATAAATATAATTCATGTGTAATCTTAATCACGGCTGCTGCCGGTAGTGCTACCGCCACCGCCGCTGCTGCTACCGCTGCTGCTGACGCTGCCGCTGCTGCTCATCGACGTGTTTCGATGTGGTATAAGAGCTTGTTGCACAAGCTCAGGTGCTGATCTCATGGCTGATTCGAATATGTCTTGACTCAGATTCTCAAAAAACTACAATGTTTTAAAGGTTTAAGAAAAGTTGGAAAGTAGATGAAATCATAAGTTAGCAAATAAAATTTTTAATGTACCTGTAGAAACGTTGACGGACGTCTTACAAGACGAGTGCATAGAGACAGCCATACAACCGTTTCTTCATCTAACCTCCTTGGTAAAATCTAGAAAAGAGGATCATGAGGCCAAAAAGTCCGAAAGGCCGTTAAATCCTCTTCACGCACTTCGATTATCGGTAATATCCCAGACTCATCTTTAAAAATCACTTCTTTCATTTTAGGATAGCACATATTAACTGTGATAATAATGTGTCTTTTAACACTAACTTGAATATAATGAGCGTACGAGCAAACAATACACTCTTTAAGAGTTGTTACAGCTGAGAATTTGCTGACAAATCTAAACGTGCTTACATGAAAAAAGATTCTGTATTCAAACGTTCTTTTAGAAGCCACTTTTGTAAACACAAGACATTATTTAACGCACACGAAAAACGATTATCCGGTGATGAGGTCTTTCCATGGAATGCCCAGTTAATTGCTTCAGGTTCTAAATTCTCAAACTTAGGACATTCTGAAGAAGGTTCTTCTAAATTAATAATTTCTCTTTGTAATAACTCTTCAAGATATTTCGCTTTTATGGCCCCGCGTACATAAATACGATGAGCTTTTTCAGAATAAAATTTGATGTTATCAATTAAATTTGAGAGATAAACGGAACCATCCGTCCATTTCAAACCATGATAATTAAAAGTTAACCATGTGTTTTGATGACGGTCCTTGAGAGGTAATTTATTAAAAGGAAACGGTGGTCTAATCAACTAGTGTCTTTGAATACCGTGCTCTACAGTATTTGAAGCAACTTCTTTTGGTAAAAATTTGCCTCGGCCATCTGTGAAGCCCTGGATATCAATAATTAGATCCATTTAAATTTTACTGAAAGTGTTTAACCGCTAGAAAAGAGATCTAGTCAAATACTTATAAGAGAAATTACGCCTTCGGGCTTAATCGTTAAAACTCGGGAATAATCGTATGAACTCGGGAATAATCGTATCACGCTATGGCCGTCGCGCATGCGCGCCTTGGTTAGCGGTAGAGAAGCCGGCTCGCGTGGTCTGCTGCAACAGTTGTGCTTGGACTTTTGTACTAGTACGACTACTCTGTGCTAATCAATTCTGACAATTCTTACTTGCATCTCACATTCATTCAAATATTTAAATTATTCATTAAATATAAATAATTATAGTAGATTCAATTATACTTTAAATTCTCAATTCATTTAAATCAGTTTAATAGTTCAGTGAATTAACATAAATAAGTAAAATCAAGTAAATTTGTTTAGTGACGCCACGCGGCCATTACACGTCACCGTTAACAAAGGATTGCATCAGCCACGCAGCTTTAGTCAATCCATAATCGACGCGTGATATTAACAATTAATTACATTAAATCAATTATTAACATTTAATTACGATCTTATTTAATTTAACTTATAAATAATTAAATTCCAATTTCAAATCATTTGACTAATCTCTACACGAAAAACATCAAACTCAATTGACTAACATTCTGTTATCAATAGAATATTATTAGCTCTCAACTAGAGACAATTGAACATTAATAGCTCTCACTCTGAGACAGTTTAAATTAATTAGATATTACCAGCTCCCACCTTGGGACTTATCTAATTCAAATTATCGATAATTTTCTATCTAAGGCGGCTGAGCTCACCCCTATTGCGTTATTGCAACGTAATTTTACACATTCACACTTACACACACACAATTTACTTGTATAATTTCATCAAGGAGGTTTTTTCCCAGCCTAGCTGGGTTTTCCTCCTTTGGGGACAAATAAATTCTTCTAAATTGTTCCCCAAAAAATCCAAGTATTATTATTTAATTTCCTAATCCCAACTGTATCGTATAATTTAAAACAATTACGGGAATTATCCGCATTGGATAGTTTTCGACAAAACAGAAAGTAGAATACTTGAAAACACAGCGTGTATAACTATCACTCTCGGTAGTAAAAGTAAAACTGTGTTCTTTGAATAAATTTATAAAGCTGCGGTGTCAGTTAAGGAAGGCGTGGTTTGATTTTTTAACCAATAATAATTGAAAATACATTTAAATAGCTTGTCAATGCGAAAAAAGGAAAAAGAGGGGAAAAACCAACGGTAAGTGAGGTATTTTAGGCGTTTACTGTATTTAAGTACTTAGAAAGATAGCAAATTATTTCGCGGAAAATATATAATTACATTTTATAACCAAACGGTAATGTTATATATTTACTTTCAAACTTTCTTTTCTTAAATTGTGGGTACGTTTTTTTCTTTTCATTCTTTGTAACAACAGCGTGAAAACATGTTCTTCGTATAGCGTCAAATTTTATTTTAATAGGTTTTTTTCTTTCACCTGTGACAAGAGACCTTACGGTTTTATAATTAATTTTAAGACTGGTTGAAACATTTAAAGTTGTACCTTTAACCTTACACACTTCTTTTATAGACCCGTCAGATGTAAGTATTGTAAAAGCGTAAAATTTAGGGCCTCCTGTTACAAATGACGTGATATAACTACCTATACCATATTTCTCTAGCTCATCGGTCAGCTCACCTAAAAATTTACCTGTCGGAGGTTCATACAGACCATTTGAAGAAATATAAATACATGAATCAGTATCGCAATATAACGCTCTCTTACCTAATTTTTCTAAGTAACTATATAGTTTAAGTCGAGCTTGAGCCGTTGTATAAGCTGCTATGATATTCGTTGTACGTGACGGTTTGAGAGCGTCTTTACTATGAATAAAATTTATGTACAATGTTTTATCATTTACTGGTAAGAAGCCGCAAATTTCGATTTGACTGTCTGTTAACATTTCCATCAATCGTGCACGCGTCGTGACAATTTCTGTCTGCATCAAATTTTCGCGCTGACCGAATTTCCCCCAGAGAGAGTTTAAGCTGAGCTTCGCTACAGAACGTAATCCAGGGTTTAATTCAACTTTTTCACTATCTAATTTAATACCCTCGGCTTTTTCATAAGTAGCAATATACTGTGTTTTTTGCTGGTCTGTAATACAGTCTTTGGGATATCCAGAAGCTTCAGTTTTAATTTTTAAAAATGTATTAATATCATCTGTAAAAATTCCACCAATACCTATTTCTGGATTGTACTGCGTTATTTTATAATGCCATATTTCATATACTTTAAGTAACTTATATCCTTTCTGAATGGCCTTTCTTATCTCATCTACAACACATGTGCCTCTTAAAAACCTATCTTTAATTTTATGGGTACAGTTTGTTTGCTTTAATTCTTGAGCACAAGAACGACATAAAGTGAAAAGAAGTCTATTATGGAGCTTACAAGGGAGTTCTGGGTGGTATAAATTCTGCGGTGGTAAGATAGTGCATTTAACTAACCCTTCTACTTTTGATAAATTCTTGTTAGGACCTATAATTTCAGAACATTCCTCACCTATATATATTTTAGGGTAGCCTATTGGGAATTTACCTGTTTTACAAATGTAAGGATACAGTGAGCAAACATCTACGTACTTAATTTTTTCATTTTCTTTTGCATCATATAATGATATAAAGCTTTCCGTACGACCTCCAAAAAAAGCATCTCGTGGGTTTAAGGGTTCTATATTGATCAAAGGATGATTTTGTAACTCTATAAGTGTTTCAGGATTGTTGGTTAAGTATAAGTCAAAATCACATTCCCACTCTTCTATTAATTTATAACCCGAGTTTCGAATTCTTTCGGATATAGCAATGGTACGCTCGTATCGAGTATCCATATTATCTATTTCTTGGTAGTTATTATTTAGTTTTCTATCACGGTTTACTTTTTAACATTTAGGACACCCATGCCAGTAACATCCGTGAAATTGTAATACGGTTTTTTTACCTGTTCTAGAATTTTCAAAGTAACCATCCACCACTATACCGGAAGGTAAACGTTGTTCTTTACCACGCGCTGCTTGTGTAATTCTATAACCGTACTCACGTTCTTTTAAAATTAACCATTTAATAGCTTTCAATGATTGATTCTGAGACCATCTGTATGTACCTGTAGCCGGTAAAATACCTATTGTATCGGGTTTAAGAAAATTGCGGCGATAAATTTTTGAGCAAGCTGACGCTATTGTAGTGCACCCTGAAAACGGACAAACATTTCCGCACTTTATAAACATATCCCGAAACTGCATACAAGCTCTTCTTAACACAATAACATCGTTTCGACAATAAAATTTGATTTCGGAATCGAAATTGAAAACATAATTTTCTTCTGATTTTTCATTATACCATGCAATAAATTTTTCAAGCTCTTTTTGGAACATAGTATCAGGAGAAAAATATTTGACAACAGGGATAGGGCCTACATAATCCCTATTACAGGGTTTGTTGAATAAATGAGGAAAATATCCTTTCGATACTTCGTTATTGAAACCGAAAGCTTCTGGGAGATCCTTTAAAGGCATATGTAAATAATTTAGACTGTCTAAAAAAACCGTGTTACCTATACGCATAACAATTATTTTGGTGTCATTTAATATTAAATCCGGTAGCCGTGTTTTATTCTTTTCTATCATACATTTCAAAATAAATTGAGCATCAAAACTTCTAGCATTGTGAGCTATACATATAGTTTTTGAAAATTTTTTAGTATTTTTTAAAGCTAGATCAATTAATTTTTCTACAGGTTTGTCTTAAAAAATAAATTCTCGCACACCGCATTCAGCACAGTTTTCAGAAACATCTTTGTCATCCCAACAATAAGTACAAGTTTTTTGAACTACACACAGATTAGGTATATGAATTCTTGTACTACGATTACCTTTTACACGTTCATTTTGCTGTGTTTCGAAATCATAAAATAAAAATAAGACTTTTGGTAATTCTTTTTTTTTCAAGGGAGTCATAAAACAATAATGATTCAGAGGTCTTTCGCAGCAGCACACTTTGCAATAATTTATGTTGCATTTATGTTCTACATTATGAAAGATATAAGGATAACAAACAACGCATAATTTTAATGCTTCGCAAACTGTGAAATTTTTATTTTTACCTCTCAAATTAGCCGAACCCGGTTTTAAGTGATTTGAGTAACAATCATCGTTTGAAAACCATCGTTCACAGTCAAGGCATGTTTTTTTACATATTTGTCTACACACTAGTGCCACGTTGCAGCGCAGGCACTTTTTAGAACACCTATGACCACGTGCTGATTCGTATCCTTTATTACAAGTTTCGCAAAACGCGCGACTGCCTAAAGCACCCGCTAAATTTATTATTGGTTAAAAATGATTAGTGTCTTGGTAATATAATAAATTAATTGTATTGCAAACTTTTCCGAACGCTTCTTGAACAGCATTACGGCCGTCAAAAAGCGGTTGACCTTTACCAAAAGTTAAAAATTCATAGACAACGATAGCTGTACCCTCGTGGGCAAAGTAGTGTTGAAAATTTTGTATTTGATTTAAACCACAACCCCTTCGCGGTATAGCAACCGGGTAAGTTTGTAATAATTTAAACTCTTCTTTCTCTTGAAAACTTCGTCGTTCGTCAATTATGCTTTTCCATCGTTTCTGCAAATACCCTGAACGGATCTCACCACGCTCTATATATGCTTTTGCAACAACTAACGAACGAGGTAAACATAAGTTATCATTGTTATTGATTGTTATAATGGATCGTTTAAATATATTTTCATGAGATAAAATTACTTTCCCACACCCCGCGACAACGGCGATAACAGCTGATGTAACAATTATTTTATCGTTAGTTGTTAATCCCCCGGCACTTTGAGAAACGCTAGTAAGCAGATTCCATAAATCAGTGCCTGTAACAGCGTTTGCACATTGAAAACGCGACCATATTACACCTTGTATGAGTTTTTCATAATTAATTGTAAAACCTACATAATCATGAGCATTACAGCCCGCTGTAATATGTGTTACAATATCGCTCAATGCGTCGTGAAACCACTGTAGGGGATCTGTATTAACAGGCGGCTCTGCTATTGTTAAAGTTGTTTCTTTACCTTTAGCTTGAAACCGCTTATAATGTTTAATTATTTCACGTTCAATTTTGAATCTTTTACCAGGCGGTTCAACAGTATTATCTTCAATTGAGGCTTCGTGATCGTCTGGTAAACCTGCTGTCGATGTAGATGGTAAGGTATTCTGTGTGGCTTTTGCTCTCGAACGTGTTGTTACGCCGCCATATTGGGCACCTATATATGTATATTTTCAATTAAACTATTTATAAGATAGATGCTCATGTTCTTAGCATTTTAAACTTTTATTCAAACCGCATAAAGTGTCATACAAGCAGTTACAAAAAATAATATTTAATTAAGTTTAAGCGGCGAAGGGTGTATGAATATTTGTAATATCTTGTAAAATACCTAGAGCATGTGATTGTACAAAGGAGCGTGTATTATCATCATTAGAGTCATCACTATTGTCGTCATAATAATCGTCAGGGTCATCAAAAAATAAAGGCGTGCTCTCTATTATCTCTTGAGAAATTTACATTTTTATGTTTCAATAAACATAAAATTATACCTGACCAGAGAGAAAAAAATGGCAGCAAATGTTCCATAACGTAATCGACGAGAAACTCAGTAGAAAAATGTGGGTTTTTCAAAGTTCCTTTAGATGTAACATCTGATTTCTGAATTGGGATCCAAATCGAATTGAATATCATAAAAAACGGTGATCCATGGCGCAATTTCGTTTCTGTTTCTTTACTTATCTCATCTGGTATTGTTTCTTCTTTTTCTTCTTCTTCTTCTTCTTCTTCTTCCTCTTCTTCTATAACAACCTCTTCAGCATTGGTGTTGTGACGATTATTATATGCAATGTGTTGATAATACTCTTCTTCCAAATCGAGATCAGCCGATAAAGTCATCATATTTTCATCAGTATCCGTAGGATATGATACATGCGTATCATCGGAGCTAGTAGACGATACACGGCTCCGTGAACGTTTCACTCCGGTAAAGCGGTCTAGCCTTATTATCTCACCTTTTAGAGCTGCAGATGTCGAAGTTTTTGGACAGTCCTATAAAACAATTGTGGTTATTATTATTATTCGATTGGTTTACATTTTGATTGAATACACCGAACTTACTCTTTTCGCGCTGATATCAATATCATCCTCATCGCCGTCAGAAGTATCATCAGAATTTAGGAGTTCATCGCGGCAATAGGCTTCTATAAAACCATTAAAAACGAGGTATGAGATATTTAAATTAAACGATGTACGGTCTAGAAATAAAAATACTTACCATAGGCTGTTAAGAAGGGTTTTAAACACTCAGCGTCTGCTTTTGATGTTTGAAGAATTGTATTAACGACAACTGTCATTAATACAGTGTTATTTGTTAATAACCCTTTCTTGTAAGCTCTTGACAACACACGACAAGAAGCTACAGCCACAATTCTACGCAATAGTTTTATTAATCTCCCGAGTCAAAATTAAAACAGTAGATTCAGCCTCCAAAGTCTACTCCAGGGTAAGTAGGCTAAAATGATCTTTATAGGTCATGACAAGCTATGCTACGAAACCGTAAATTCAACCTAAACTTGGTATTTTTGTCCGCTTTTACCAAGTTTAGGTTCAAATCACCGTTCTAGAACGATAAAATGAGCTTCCAGAGCCTACTATTTTACTGTGGAAAAAATTCTTATTGGTTCATACGAAGTAGGCAAGGGGAAAGAAGAGAAAGGGAAAGGAATAGAAACCAAAATGGCTGCTGAGAGCGGGAAAAATTTGAAATAAGAAGAAAAATAAATCCAAATGATTTTAAAATTTATTAATTATATGCATGTTTTATTTAAAATTAAGAACACCAATAAGAAATTACTATTGAAAATACATTCATATTTTTCACGTAATATTTTTTTGAATTTATTAGAATAAACAGTCTCAAATAATTTTGAAGTTCTTATAGAACGAAGTATAAATAAACAAATAAACATGCAAATAAAATTGAAATTTATATTAAAAAACTTTTAACCTTTTTACGTTTTGAATTATAGATTCATTAAGGTTTGGTTTTCATTAACCTGTATAATATTTTTATTATTATTATTATTATTATTATTTTGGGATTCATTATAAACAGACTGCATAAATACCTCATCGTTACCATTATTTATTGGAACGGAAGAATTATAGTTGTAATTTTCTGTCCCGTAAGGACGTGTATTGGTATCATATGATGAGTTTGAATACTGCCATGGTGAACTCGTGCACGATTGTTCTGTAAGCTGATCTTGATCTTGAGTAGTCCAAGTGTACTGAGGTATCGAGTATCCATTTGATGAATTTGGAGTGGTCCAATAGTTCTGGTCTCCTGGAGAACCTGTATAACCTGTATAACTTGGATAACGTGGATAACCTGGTGAATCTTGAGTCGAATAGTGCTGGTTTTCAGGAGTACTATATCGTTGATCTTCAGTTATTCTGGGATGCAAATTATTAGGAGTACCATATCGTGGATCTTCAGTAGATCTAGGATGCAGGTCTTCAGAATAAAGATATCGTGGATCTTTAGTTATTTTAGAATGCTGGATTACTTCAGAATGCTGGATTACTTCAGAGTCTTGATTCACAGAACCAACAATAGACGAAAAATGTTGTCGAGATGCGGGTGATGAAGCTATTTCCATTTCATTAGCAAGTTCACTTTGATCGTCAGCAAACCTGGAGTCAGAGTTCGCTGAATCTTGGGAAGGTTCTGAATTTAGAAAATCAATGCCCATAGTAGATTCGTGACACACGATGGTGGAATGTTGTGTCGATATCACAGGCTGACTTGCATTTAGTTGTCTTTTTTTTGTTGAATGCAATTTTATTTATGTGCTTCTTAAACTCAGCTTCCTCAATTGTTGTTTCAGACCTACTATTAGCCCAAACTAGAAGAAGTTTAATAAAGTTTAAGTTTTTCCTTCATAAAAATTATTATCAACGTATTATCTTACCAAGAATTGCCTGATATAATTGGGGATGTATCGGTGATCGTGATGTCAGTTTACCTGTTGCACAATAAAAGCCGATATTCGAACCATAAACGGTTATGAGAGCTTCTTTGACCAAATTCTTCCAATCCGACAAATGAGAGCTCACAGGACTTTCCGTCCGTTTTTCAATGTAAGCTATTGCAGATTTTGGAAAGAAAATATTATGATCCTTAGCAATTCGATCCTGTAATCATAAATTTTTTTATTAAAAATTAATTTAAAAATATCAACTAGAATATTACCTTTGTTGGTCCAGGTTTTAAAAAATCATCACGAGATGTCTGAAAGTATAAATAAAAAATTAATACAACAAAAAGACATCCACTTTATTGATAATTTAATAATAAAAAAGTAAGTTTGACTGTTACCGATTTCAGTAAATTGAAATTATTGTCAGATTGTTGGTGCCATTTATTTTCTTTTTCAACTGCAGAAATTACTTTTTTAAAAAACTGCAAGTCAAGTTGGGATACTAAAACAATTCATAGTTAATTATCAAATTATGTTAATTATAACGAAGTATATACTGTCAATAAATTAAAAACTTATGAGTACTTGTATCTGTAGCAGTATCGTTTGATGTTTTTGAATTTCGTTTGTTGCGTACGATCGTCGTGACTTCAGTCGTATAATCATGACTATTAATTTTTTCAGTAGATTTTAAAAGAACCCAATCTAAAAAATGATAAAAAAAATATACAAGTGAGATTTAATTTTTTTATAGAGTATATTATAATAATTTATTTCCCATAAAATTTTAAACTGTGTAGCTTTTAGAGCGCTAAGAGCTCCAAAATCAAATTAAGTAAAGTTTACAATAAAACATCAAATTTTAAATAAATTAAGTTGATAATTTTTCATATACTGACTATAAACTGCTTTGTAAATATCCGTATCAATTGAAGGTCGCAAGGAACTTTTGACTCGGCCAACAGCACAATAATTACCAAGATGATCTCCATAAACTTCAATTAAAACAAGTTTAACTATAATTTTCCAATTAATAACGCCTGTTTCAGTTAAAGCTTTGTTTTCAATTGTTTCAATTACTTCAATAGGAAAAAAAATACCACTTTTAGGAGAAATTTCTCTCTGAAATTAAAGTATGCAATGATCATTAACATTAACTATTACTAAGAAAACAAATAATCAACTCTTTAATTTAAAAATTGACTGTTGTACCTTATTCTGACCATCAACTTTTACACTTTTAATTTTCTACAGAAGAAAAAAAAAGTAAAAAATGCATTATTCACATTAATTTCATAAGAAAAAATTCGACAAAAATATTATTGTAACTATTACAAGAAAAAATACCTTAGCTATATTTACATGTTGGTGCTCATAAGCTCCTCATAATCCAGCGTAGATTTGACTAAGAAATTTTGAGTTTTCTTCAGTAGCTGTTAAAGAAATTAATGAAATAAGTTAATGTTTTGCTCGGAAAACAATTCAATTTAAATAAAAATTAAATTTTTTTACAATTCTTGGAGCATTGAATTTAGTTACTGTAATTTTTTGTGACAGTTAATAAAAGATAAATGTAATTTTTTCTGCTACTTTTTTTTAATCACAATTAAAGTATTTTTATTAATGCTAAATTATTCTGTTAATTAATATTATTGTGATTTATGAAAACGCTAATCAACTCTAACTGGAATTCAAAACTGAATATTTATTTTATCTCAATGTCAATTAATTAATTTATATTAAATAAATTCTGATTCGAGATTTTTCCCGTAAGATCAAATAATGGCGTCTTATGAGCTATTTTATGGGCAAGGCTATTTTTTTGAAATTTGTTTGCAGTATTGTCTTTTTTTGCTTCTTCTTGCAACTGTCTTTTTTTATCCAACACAGATCTATAAAATACTTTAGTACTCTCGTCACATACGTTGCCATCTTCGTCTAGTACGATATTCTCTAGTTTTATTTTATCACCTGCGTAAAATTATTCAAATATTATGATTTATAAAAATAAAAAGAATAAAATTAAAAAAATTACATGAATTGATGCAATTCATTTTTCACTTTTTTTTTAAATTTCATGTCTAATAATATATTATTAAAACTTACACTGCAGCTAAACTTAACCTTAAATATATGCAAATATAAATTACCCATACTTACTATCTAACTCTAGAATTTTTACTTCGTATCTTTGGCTTATTTGAGTATTCGGGTCCTACCACAAAATTTTAGCAATATTGCCTTTTTTCCGCCGAGTTTTTGGTAGCTTGTTTGTTTCCATTACGTATCTTTCACGTGTACTCATGAACCATATCAGAGCATACATTGGTTCTTTCAACTTATCCTTCTTTGGAGGCATAATTAATCAAGCAGTTAATTTGCAGATCTTAAGATTATAAACAAAATCAAGCAGTAAGCATTACACAGTCACAATAATGTGTACAGAATGGCCGTTCATCGACTTCTTTACAATTGTTTATTTCGCCATGATTGATTTCTGTTATATTCCATGAGTATTGACACAGAATTTTGTGATTGGCTAAAAATAAGCGGGAAATTTGAAAACTAATAGTTATTCGATTTATCGACCAATGTTATTAAATTATTTGATAATTGAACTTCTTAACGGTTGGTGGCGTTCCAGTCGGAATTTTTATCTATGCATAAGTGAATGTGTGTGGTATTTGTAAATAAAAGCTTGTAATTGTTATACACATAACCTTGTGATTAATAAAATAAATATCAAGTACATTATATGATATAAAAAATCATTGATAAAATATATAAATAAGAAGTTGAAACACACATTTAGTAGCAATTTACTGTTATTAATTGCAAATAAGGATTCTTACGATACTTAATTGCAAGTGACAATGTCTAACAAAAATTTTCATGATTTATCCAAACGAAGAAAAAGGGACTATCTTAATAGTATTCGGACTATAAATAATGCTCCCCACCCAAATAATAATCAAAATGAAGTAAGTAAATATTTATAAGTTTTTATATATTCATTAACAAATTAATTTAAAGTGTATAAATGTTTCTAAAAATCGTTTATTACTATTCGTTGCATAAAAATCATACAATTGTAGTGACGTTTAACAAAACGACCGTTCAAGTATTTTGTTGAATGTTTTTAATAGCATTGAAATATTTTTTCAGGTTGAAAATCTTCCATTGAACCAAAGGGACGATGAAATCATTCATGAAAATGAAAATAATTTGAATGATAATGAAATCAATGTAGAGAGAGTCGCACAGTTTCAAAACGCAGAAGATACAAGACAAATAAATATTCTAACACATAATAATATCGAGAATCAAGTAAGTTGACACTTAAAGTATAGCTGGAGGTATGCTATGTCTTCATTTCTTGTTTAATAAAATACTTTATAGAAATACTTTATTAATTATGCAATTTTTAATCATGATTCAAGTAGAGAAAATATAAATTTTTTTTCTTTAATATTAACTAAATTCTATAAATTCTGTTTATTTTCATAAAATTTAATGATAATATTGGTTTTCAGACTCAAAATCAACTGACTCACCGAAGAGTTAATAATATCGGAGCAGAAAATGATTCTGCAAGTATCAATGAAGAATTTAATGGTGTAGATAATGAACATCTAAATCCAGAGAATGTACGTGAACAAAGAGAAGAAGTTATGATTGAAAATAGCAATGTCCATACGACTGAACGTGATATAAGAGTTGAAAATTTAGACAAAAATGGAGTAGAAGAGGAAGAAGAAGAAGAAGAGGAACAAATTTTTGATGAAGACGAAGATGAAGACGACAATTTAAGAAACAATAATGTCAATTATGATTTACCTCTTTATAAGGAAGCACCACTAACCATTTCTCAGAGTATGTTATTGATTGCAACTCTGCTGATCACCCACAATGTTACTCAGTCATGCATTATTGACATCATAGCTATCATAAATTTACATTGCTTAAATGATAGTTTTCACAAGAATAGCCTGTTTAGATTTAAAAAATTTTTTGGTTTAGGTAATCACAATTTTACTAACCATAAAAAACATTATTACTGCTCCAACTGCCTGAAAGGTTTAAGTTCTTCTAATGAAGTCTGTCCAGACTGTTTAAACAGTAAAACAGCACACTTCATTACTTTATCAATTTCCGAACAATTACAACAATTATATAATCGACCTGGATTTCATCAACAGTTACAGCACCGTTTCCGACAGCCAAATTCCGAATGCCAAATATTGCATAATATAAATGATGTCTATGACGGTTACTTGTACAAGAATCTTGCAAGAGATGGTTATTTGTCAAATCGAAATAATATATCTTTTATCTGGTATACGGATGGTGTTCCGGTTTTTAAATCATCACGCATCAGTATTTGGCCTCTATACTTAACAATTAATGAATTACCTATCAAGGAGTGGAGTAAACGACATAACTTGATATTAGCCGGATTGTGGTTCGCTGATACCAAGCCAGATGCTAATTTATTTATTGATAAATTGCATTCCCAATTTATAAAACTTCTTGAAGGTATAAATTATGCTTTACCTGATGGTCAAAATATATTTGTTCAAGCAGCATTACTATTTGGTACGTGTGATAATCCTGCAAAAACACAGTTTTTGAATTTTAAGCAATTCAATGGTTTTTATAGTTGCCCAGTTTGTTTAGAACCAGGAGAAACTTACCATTGTCCAACTGGGGGAACAACACACATTTACAAATATATTGAAAATCCGACCATGCGTACATCTAAGCAGTCTATAGAGCATGCAAATATTGCATTAGAGAACAACAGCGACCATTTTGGAGTGAAAGGTCCATGTGCTTTGTCAAATATAATGCCAGATTTCGTAGCAGAAACAGCGATTAATAAAATGCATTGCGTTGATAATGGTGTTGTGAAAAAGCTCTTGTCATTGTGGTTTGACAATTCTTACAGTAGTAGTCGTTTTTCACTTTATCCTGTGATCCAGGTAATTAATGATCGATTAACAAGCATAAAGCCACCAAAATTTCTGCATCGATTACCAAGAACTATTCAAGAATTGACTCACTGGAAAGCTTCGGAACTAAGGATGTGGTTTTTTTATTATTCACTTCCAGTTAACAAATTATTTATTAGAGACCACTTCTTAGTATTTAACAAATATTTTTTAGTATTTAAAATGATTTTTTTGTATTTAAAAAATCTGATTTTTATTTATTAAATATTAATAAATCTTTTTAAATACTAAGAGATATTTGTTAAGGAATAAAAAATGGCTTCTAATAAATGATTTGTTAAATATTAACAAATATTTTTAACTATAAACTAATCCTTCTATCAGTGTATAAGATTCGTGGTGATTATATCACATGTTCAAAATAGTAAATTTAAAATTTATACCTTAATTATTGAAATTATCCGATAAATGTAATTAATTATTGATAAATGTAATTATCCGCATTCATTATGTCTTCAAAAAATACTTTAGTAGATTACAAGAAACTGATTGAAACTGTCTTATAATTATAAAAATCATCAAATTTGAAGAATAATACCGTCAAAGACAGTGTGATTAGTGAACTATCGGTTAAAGAAGGTAAACCGTACCAATGGTTCATTGAAAACTATATAGATATTGTTACTTATGAATTAATATTGCTCTTCGATAAAGAAATTATTGCTAAAGTGAAGAATGTTTAAATGATTAAGAAAAGTTTGAAAATCTAAAATTATTGCCGTTATAATTATAAAAAGTTAAATGTTTATTTCATAAAATTTAAAGAGTTTTGTCTATCGCTATTGTATTCTGCGAAAACTAATGTATCAATAACTAATAATACATGTATTAATAATTTATACTTATTATGAATATTATTATAATAGCTAATAAGAAAAAAAATCCCTTCATTATCCTTAAAATAAGATCTAATATGCAGGTATACGGTAAGTAAGATTTTCATTTATCAATGGAATTATTTAAGATTATAAATTATATCATAATTGATTATTTAATGCTAAACAGTAAGTAAATATACATATACAAAGTATTTGCAAGCTTAGCGACCTTGCGATAACTCACATTACTACTACTACTAATAATAAGGCGTAAAGTGTAGGTATACGATCAGTAAGATTTTCGTTTATCAATAGAATTATTAATATTACAAATTATATCATAATTAATTATTTATCGCTAAAAG